AAGGCAGGCAGCACAATTTCTGTAGCTCTGAGGCGGCCAAGGGACAGGAGCACCACCAGCTACCCCATTCTCTCCACGCCTACTGCACCACTTCTTACATGGACAACTGCACGCCATCCACCTGCTCCCTGGGCCCTCAGTTGTGCCAGTTTATTCTCCAGGCTCTGTCCAGAGTGTTTATCACAAACAGCCATTTCACTGATTCTCTCTGGCTCTAGATTATCTGATCTTCTTCACCTCTGACCCCTGCTATATTATCCTTCTTTATGTCCCAGGAGGATTCAGACAGCCTGCTTTAGAGATTTGGCATAAAAATCTGGAAAACTTTAATCCTATTCCCCCTCTTTTACCTAATTTTATAAATTCTTCAGTGCTACAGAACAAAAGCTTTTGTCTACAGAAGTATTTTATCTCTGATAAACTCATTACTTTTCCTTGAAAGCATCCTGTTTTCATTATATATTTTTGTGATTTATGTCAAATTATAAATGATATGCCTCCTCATCAAACTAGTAGCTCAGAAAAGGTAGAAATGACATCTATTTTGATCACTGCTCTATGACTGCTTGGCCTATACCAGACCTTTAACAAATGTTTGCTGAATAAATGAATGAGTCCTCTTTACACTTCTTTCTCTCTTTATTTTACCATTCCTCTCCTCTCATTTCCTTGAAGATATATGAAGGTAAAAAATAATATATCTTAAATAAAAATTAAAGTGCCTAGTCACTTTAAATAGTTAAGACCTGAGGCAAATAAATGTGCTAAATAATTCAATATATAAAGAAAATCAATGAGTTAAGGTTATTATCTCCATTAGTGATCTCATCCATTTTTAAGCCCTCTATGACTTTGCCACAAGTCTCTACTAAATTTAATATCATAATCTCACTCAACCCCTGAACCCAAGACCAGCATTTTCATTTGTCTCCTTGACTTAGATATCCAATGGGTACTCGAAACTCTACATGCCTAGAACCAAATCCATCACCCTTGTCAATATATCACTTCATTAATTCTATAACTACCATGACAATGACCAGACAATTCATGTTTGAAACTTTCTATTTATTTTCAACCTCCTCTTTTTTTCCCCCAGATCCCTACAATGGTCAGATCCTAAAGATTTTAACTACAGAATCATCTGTCTTTCTAACTCCATTCTTTGCATGAAGACTAAAGGTCTTCATTACCACAATCTAACTGGTCTCTTCCTTCCAATCCCAACCGTATACAGCTATAAACACATCTCGAAGTAGATTACTTCCTTCTCAAAAACCTGCAAAAGAATTATGCTACTAACCCATTGTTTCTCAACATTTAATATATACTCCCCACCCACTTAATGCAAAAATCTCATATCCCGTTGGTACTATTTTACAAAAATTAGAATTTTCCTGCTATTCCTAAATATAAAAGTGTAAGATTCAATGTGTTTCTTCAAATTCTGCTCACTCTATTCAGAACTGTCTATGAGTCACTCTTATTAGATTACGAGCTCTTTGGAGCTAGGTTCTAGTGACATGGTAAGCACTCAAAAGATTTTTAATGACAAAACTCAAACACTGATGTTCAGAATCATTCATGATATAAACTCAGTCTGACTTTGCAGTTTCATATACTACTCCTCTCTTCTTGTCAGATTATTTCAGTGGCTCTGAAATTATAGTTGCAGAGCCAGTAGCTTTAGAATCACTGAGAACTCATTAAAAATGTAAATTCTCATGTTCCACCCCAGCTCCACTGAAGCAGCAACTCGAGTAGAGTTTAGTCATTATTGTTTATATGAGCTTGCCAACTGATACAAAAATTTGAAAACCACTGAACTATCTACCCACATGGAAACACTATCCTTCTTCATCCATGAACTCTTGAAACTCCTGCCTAGCAACACTTCAGAACCCACTTGTGCAGGGTTAACATTCACTACATGTTGCTTTCACTGAAGAGTCAACAATTCTAAAATGCCTACTGGACAGTCCCCATAGAAGTCAACTGTAATCATGCCTTGTGTCACTTATTATTTTGGGAAGCACAGGTTTATTCTTAGTGGTATCAATATTCTAAATGTAAACTGATCACAATTGTGCATGTTTTGGTAGTAAAACATATCATCTGGCCCTCCCGGGTGGCGCAGTGGGTTAAAGCACAGCACTGAGATGCTAAAGCCACCTCCACATGAGTTTGATTCCCGCCTTCCCCGGAGGAGACCACATGGCGTGGCAGACCTCTCCTGACCTGCCCGCTGCTCCCCTCAGCAGTGTACTTCGTCCATCTGCCTGTTCTGCTCCTCACTCTGTCTCTGGTGAAGCCTCTTGCCGCCCCTGCACCTCTGGCCTATACCCCAGTTCTGTATGCATAAATAAATCTTAAAAAAAAAACAAAACATATCATCTACCTCTGGGCATTTGAAGGTATAAATTATAAATTTTGCCATTTAAGAGGATCTTGCGAGGAGATTAACTTTCCTGACTTAAAAGAGTTGTAAGTTTTAAATTTCAATGATTCTAATTTCCCAGAGTTGATAGGAGGCACGTACTGATATTTCTCTGCACCTTATTAAATGTCAAAATCATATAATGGCTCCTCGGAGCCAGGTGAGACTTTAAAGGGAACACAGGCAAGCAAAGACTTGCCTTTTAAACAGGTAGACTCTCAGGCAGGAAGAATATTTAAGTCAAGGAGAAACAGAAGCCAGTTTTCTCAGACTGAAGAGAATTCACCTATTTCCCACATAAGATATAACCACAAACACAAAGTGTAAGAAGTCATTAACTTGAACAGAAAGACAACTGTCTATTGTTCTAAAGGGGAAAAAAAAGTGACCACAACTACGACTAGTATATACACACACACACAAGTGGCCATGAATGCAAGATGGTAGAGCTTATTTAAATTCTTTAAGGAACTGTGATGTATTTTAGATACTAAGATGACATCCCATCATAAAGACATAATTAGCAGCACATTACCAAAATCTATAAGCAGAGGGTGTTGGATGTGATCTGTGACAATTTATTTTTTTCAGTTAAGAGACTCAAAAAGACTATTTGATTTTTCCCAGTACCACAAATTAAGGCAGAGGCAAAGTGTACTCTACTTATTCTTTGACCAAAGGAAAACACAATATGTATTTAGCAATACCATTTGTTCTAATTAAACTATTTCAAGCTGTTCTTTAGCATGTACCTGCCATGATAAACTCAGGACAAAAATGTAGCTTTATCTTATAAACATCTTAAAATCTACTTAGGATCATGTCGAATTTAAAAATGTAACAAGCAAATGTTAGACACAGCAGGTTCTCAAATTACATCACTTCATTCAATGTCATTTTGCAAAACGCTGATAAGAAAAAAATAAGGATTCCTGGCCAGAATTGGTTTTGTTAGGCATCACCTTGCTTAAAGTTACAATTTCCACGGATGAATAAGAACAGAACATCTCCAGGAAAGTTTATGGCTTGTGGTGTGATTTTAACATAGGCTGAAATAGTAGATACTGAAATAACATGGGGGTCAGGGGCACCCACTTACAGAAACTTTGCAGAAAATCTGTATATCCATATCTGTGTGCTCCCCATCTGCACATTCAACCAGCAGACACCTGAGGTTGGCTAAATCCGCAAGTACGAAAGTGCAGTTCAAACCCATTCTGTTCAAGGATCAACTGTATTTTTTTATAATTCTATGGTTGAGCAGATCCTTCTCCAAGTTCTGGTTTTGGAAACTCCCAGACACAACTTTTAACCTTGTAATTACAATTTTAAAAATATAAGTCAAATCTCATTTCAATAAAGAAATATATAGACTTCAGTTATTTTATGTGTTAACTATAATATTGAGTTACTATGTTATAATACAATTGTGATGTTTTAGAGCTGGGGAGGCCTTTTTAGAATACTATCATTATGTGAAAGAAAACACTACGACTCCTGATAGTCATGAGTTTAATGCAACAAAAAATTGATAATCCTTTGGAATGAACATATATGGAGGTAGAAGGATAGCTTTCTAAGTATTCTGTCCAAATTGAAATGTGCTACTCTACATACTTTGAATGTGTGTAGCTATGACTTTTTAAATGTAAGAAGATCCAGAAAATCAAAGCAAGATTTTGCTATTATCTTAAAGTTTTAAGAATAAGCTAGTAAGAAAATTTCAGTTATTACTATGCAAAAAAAAAAAAAAACACACATTGTTAAAGACACAGGATTTCCCTCTCCCTAATATTCAACATGCTGTCATTCACAGCACAGAAAAAAACAGGTGAGGAAAGATAAAAATCTGTATTTCAGAAAATGACTCTAAAGATTTCAAAACATCAAACCTTTTAATAATAATCTACCATTAAACTTGTGACAACCAAGTCTTTTTTGGGAATACTTAATTTACTTTATAAGAGAACAGATGCACTTAATTTATGAACCCCAAACAATAATCTATAAATTATAAAAGAACATCATGCATATTTTATTTATTGGTAAGTAATAGGACTCATTTTCATTACACACAGTTAAGTGTTACCACTCAGCACGTTTTCACAAATATGATTTTTATTATTAACTGCAGTAGTTATCATTCATCATCATTGCCATAATGATGCCATAATCTTTCATAGTGGTAGAAGAAACATGAAACAGTATTAGGTTCTGTATAGTGAATCCAGGGAGAAGCAGTTGACTACTGGAAGTATATTTGCTGGGGAAATGAGGCAAATATTTATTTGCAAATATCACTGAGAGAGCAGCTAAAGACTCAAAAACTCTTCAACTGGAAATCAAATCTTTAATAGATGATGAAACAGCTAAGGGAACAGAGGCATAGAAAGACAAAACCTGACACAAGCCAAAAAGCGAGTAACAAACCTTGAAACTAAGACTCCATATTCTCATTTATACCTTAGGTAAAATTTCAAGAACGTCTTTTGCTGAATGGAAAAAAAAAACCCACAATTATATAGCTTATTCAGCACAACCACATGGATACCAATCAACATACCTGTTGTTGTTCCGGCAATTTCGACAGTTCACGCACTCCAGTGGGTCCGTCTGGGGGACTGCTGTGTATACTCCACCACCCTTGTCAGGAAGAAGGTGCAGGGAGAGAAGAAAGAGTGCTTGAAGGAGCCATACAGCAGTCACCCAATTACGTCAAATCTATAAGTCCCGCCAACAATGGACGGGCCCACGGTGCGTTTTAACTACTCCTGAGCAATGTTAAGCTTAGTCATCCACCTGTGTACTGTTAAAACTGTACTCTCAAACCATAACTGCCCTGTTTATTTCAACTATTTTTGTTCTGAACAGATGCAAATAAGTAATAAAAAGATTAGTAAATTATTATTTACTTAGTAAAGTAAAAAAGCAAGTAAGTAAATAAATAGTACTTTCCTCCAGTGTTTCAAATCTAATCAGGCCCAAATGTACTATACATTTTAGCCTCCTTCTGGTTTTGACTTTTCTAGCCATCGTAGAAGAATTTTTTGGGATGCCAGTTGGAGAAGCAGGATGGAAATGTTGGGGTGATGTCACTAGATAAACCCATCTTCATTTTCCTGTAATTATTTTGATGAGGTCTGTTCACTTGACTACCCTAAGTTTTTAAAACATGCTATATTTTTCCAGATGGAGTAGATTCTCAGCCAGCAATGACTTGGACGGCAGTATTCATATTTTGATGTTGCTTTTGGCGGAAACTACCCAGAAATTAAGAAAAATGCCCAAATTAACACATACCTCATTGTAAAATGTTCACTTGCCATATACAATGACAAGTGAACTTCAAAAACGAAGTAAGAATTGAACTGGCCTCCTGATCAGAGTCAGAGTTCTGCTTTCAGATGGAAAACAGCAGAATTGACTTTGATAAGGTTGGGAAGGTTGTCACACTGCACCCAACCACAGACAGGCCTTCAGGGTTAGGAAAAGTTCAGGCAATTGTTTTTCCCAGCATACTTTCCATTCATCCCGTAACAACAGCCAAAATCTAAGCAAACCGAAAGAATTGAAAATTTCTGAACATTCCTGATCCAACGAGCAACAGGAATTTTTAAGAAAGCATTCAAAGAAAGACTATTGCTATACTTTATAACCAGTCCATTAGGACAAATGCCAAAGGTTCAGAAAACGAAATTGTCACCTATAAGGTAACATACTTAATTATTGAACAAATTAAAGTTAACTCAGTGATATTTATGATAATCACAAATTTAAAACTTTCCTTATTTCTTCCCAACCAGAAAGGAAGAATAAGAAAAATTACAGGGACCCTCCCTGGTGACACAATGGGTTAAAGCACAGCACCATGAGGCTATCTGCAGCCACTGCAGCTCTTCAATCCGTGGCCACATGGCGCAGCAGACCTCTCCTGTCTTGCCCACTGCTCCCCTCAGCAGTGTCCTTCGTAGATCTGCCTGTTCTGCTCCCCACTCTGTCTCTGGTGAAGCTTCTCACTGCCCCTGAGCCTCTGGCCTGTACCCCAGTTCTGTATGCACAAATAAATAAATCTTTTAAAAAAAAAATTAAAAAAAAAAATTACAGATGATAAGCTCTGAAACAGTACACCTAATGGGGCAACTAGCATATAAATAGCAATTTATTGTGCAAAATACTGCGCTAAAATGCTAAAACAAACATCAGACTCATTTTTTTCCTCTTATGGAAACAGCATGTGTTATTCAAACTTGAATGCTCCCTCCTTCAGTTTCTTGGATAACATTAGTAGTTTAGACTCGGAACAGTGACAAGAAGCTTAGAAAATCTGAATAGAATCCATGTCTTTCCATATAAAATAATGAAATCATTATTCTGTTTTGGTACCGATATGCATAGAGGCAAATTAAATATTTTTTTAAACAATAAACTTAAAGCCAGGTCACACGGAAGCCATTAGATTCCCACTTTAAGATACCTATGTTTAAAATTTTGTTCTCCAAACATAATATTCTAATACACATCTTTAACTAAAATTAAAGATCAAATTTTAGCATATGGCAGGTCAGGGCAAATTTATCTGTAATCAGAACCAGGACAAGAACCAAAAGAACACTTAATTTGATCAATGAAACAAATGAACTCTTTGTTTGAAAAATTATGTGGCTGTGTATACAATGTAATATGTCAACCTTCCTAGTGCAGAGAAATTCTTCAACCAGCATAAATTTTAAATATGCTAGTCATTCTCGTCTCATTTCAAACAGTAAACTGTATCAGCTAGTTCTCCCTGAAATACAGTAGGTATTAATACTCCTGTTCTAATTCTATTTTCGTAATTTGGAAGTTTACTACTCCTGTGACTACAGAATACAAATTTCATAAAATACAAAAATCTACAAGCAAGAACAAAACCCAATTGGCAGAAGAAATTCCCAAGCGGCCAGAAGTCCCACTAGTGGCCTACAGCCATGTGTGGCCTAAATGCTCTCAAGAATTGGAATAGTTGCCACCATATAAGTAAGACATCTGGCAATTTTACTTGGATTCACATGTTTTGAAAAATCAGAAAACCTGGCAACACCGGGCCCTCTCTCCTGCACGCCCACAGTAGGAACTGAACTATGGTGGCCTCTTTAAGCCGTCCAGCTTGCTATCACTTCTGCCCCATCTGCCCCAGCCCCAACTAGCTTCACTCAGTTTCATGATCTGCCTGATTCCTCCACGCACAGGAGCTTTCTGTTTCTGCTCCCCAAAATGCAAATTTAAAGTAATTTGGTCACATCCTTTCCCAGAGGTATTTCCATTTCATCCCAAGAATATCTTTCAATCTGTTTCTTACCAATGCTAAATAATTCTTAAAATGTAAACCAAACTGATGACTATAGTTATCACTTGTGAAGAGAAAGGTCACGAAGGTTACTCTACATCCAGGGATGCCAATGACTCCTACGATCTCTATTTTAGTGCAGCTGTGAGTACCTTCTATACTGAGAAAGGTCAGACCTTCCACGCAGGCACCGTGGGGCGTAAGAAAGACATCAGAGTTAGGTGTCTTACATTCACTAGGTGAGGAGGATGTTCAAAATCCACATGGGTCCTGGTCAGAGAGTTCGTGTGCCCGGAGTAAAGGCCTCCGTTTATGCTCCCGTTCATGATCCCACTGACTCCGTTGGGGACTTTGTGGTGGGGGTGGGAGCAGCCATTGCCGAGCCCCCCATTGCTGATGAAGTGCCCATGGACGTTCCCGCTTATCCGGTTTGTACCGGGCAGGGTGGTGTACTCCACCATATGCCCGTTAATATCTGACCCTTGATAGAGATATCCTGGTGGGTCATATTCTGTCAAAAGAGAACGTAAAAGAAAAATAAAAAACAAGTGAGATACTGAAAAGGACAACCTTGCTGGGGGGTTTTGTTAGTGAAACCACCACGAACCTTCAAGTACACAAATACCAATTCCGAAAGTGTTCACTGAAAACCCGCTAAGTGATTGCTGCTGTTTCCTTTATGGTCAGAGGTAGTTAAGAGTTTTCAGGTAATTATGGCTGTTAATGGAAATATAAATGAAGAGAGAAATTGTTCAAAAGAGAACACATGAATTGTACATGTTGAAACTATCAAATGACAATGCGCTTAAAAAATTGAGTAAAACAACAAAAACAAAAAGCTAACTTAGATAGGAAATGTCAAGTGAAAAAATGAGTTATGTGTACTTTCCCTGAAAACTGAATAGTTTGCCTGGTTATTAGAACCAATTTGGAAATTGTGGGGACACAATGATTCTAACATTCTTGCATTAAAAGCATTTAGACAGCTGCCTCAAAATTCTGATTTTCAGGGCCTCCCTGGTGGCCCAGGGGTTAAACTCTCAGTGCTGTCAGGCTATTGCCAGCCACTGCAGCATGAATATGACCCCAGCCAGGGAGCTGACCCACATGGCACAGCAGACCTCTCCTGTCTCACCTGCTGCTCCCCTCAGCAGTGTATTTCAGGGGATCTCTGATTTCCTGAGACACATCTCCCAGATATATTTATAAAAGTAAAATATCCCTTAGAAAGTTCAGTATCTAAACTGCACAGGACTTCCCAGGGTTCTGGTAAAATTCTTCAAAGATATGCAGGTGTGTATGCCAGGAATAAAGTCGGTGCACCTTTTCCTACTACTGAACCTCTTACAAGGTGAGTTAGGGTCAGTAGACACTAAGTATATTTTCCCCACTAAACTATACACCTTAAGACACCAGAGGTCAAATTTATTCTCTGTTACATTTCCATTGTGTGCCTGTCACACTGAAAATAAAGCTGAGTACCTTTTGAATGAATGACCAAATGAACACTACTGTTACAGGTTTCCATTTTTAAACAGATTATCAACTCACAAAGGAAATGATTTCTGCCAAATCAACCTCGCTCAGAGAACCAGAGTATACTTTTAACCACTCACCACACACTTGCATAGTTAAAGTCAATGATCTCAGAGCTATCTGGTGAAAAAAGGCCCAATCAAATGATCTCCACCCCTTCGGTATGGCACCCCACCACCTCTGTGCAGCCCATCTTTAAGAAGTTAGGAAATTTGAGAAAGGTCCCTGGCGCTGCTCCTACCCGCCACACACCCCATCCTCATGGCCTAAAAAGGCCCCTATGTGGGACTGTCCCCCTTCGGACACCTGCTGGGAGGCCTGTGGCTACTGGCATCTTCCTTCGCTTTGCACCCCTCACTCCGGGGCCAAAAGAGAAGCCAAAAAACTTGCTATCAGAGAGGAACGTCCCGCTCTGACCTGATTATCCTAGTTTATAATAATTGGGGGAACACGAAAGATAGGAAACTGAGAGGAAGAGAACTGAGGGGCGAGCGGAGTATTTCTAGACCCTAGAAAAGGAGCTCTGGGCGATCTGTCTCAAGCCAGCACCCTCATGGGCTAGTGAGAAGCATTCGCAGGCGGGGCCACGCTAGAGCAGGGCGCAGACTGTATGTCACGTTGCGCCAGGCAGTGACAGTGGCTCAGGAACGTCTTCGCCAGCTTCCTTGCTACCCCTGGACAAGATCTGTACCACTTTGCAGGTGTTTCCACAGAAGTTCCACAGCTCCTGCTTCAACTCCTCCTCTTTGGTGGTCTGACAGAGCAGCGTCTCCCAGCACTAAGTCAGCTCTGTGCTTAGAGACCTGCTTAATTTGAGCTTTGTTGTTTATTTCCACTGGGCAATTTAGTTGGATGCTCCACTTACTTTGGCTGACAGCTAGGACAGATTTAAAGTCACCTCCTCTGAGTGAGGACTAAGGAGCTCATGGTTTTCATACCTTGACATTCATACAGGAAAGTGTTAGAAATCAATATTTATTCGGACAATATTTTTCTACCCATCTTGAGAAAAAAAGCAGGAAATGCTGTGGACGACTCACTCTGAATGGTACTCTGCTGGCGGTTCTTCCACAGGCACATGGCAATGAACACCATGAGGATGAGGACCATGACGCCAAGCACGCAGCCCACGATCAGATACAGCATGTCACTGCTTCTGGCGGGGCTGGCCGCAGGCCCGGCGTTCCCTCCACCCCCGGAGGAACTCGGAGGTGTGCTCAAGTCTCTGACGGGATACTCAGAGGCTCCCGGAACACGTTTCACTAGTTGAAATGAAAAGGAAAACATGATGTCAGACTGAATACAGACTCTGAGATGGTTTACTCTCTGAAGGAGGTCTGGCTAAAAAGCAAGCCAGTCTGTTTACGCTTGTTAGTGAGATGAGGTGACCACCAACGCGTCGCAAAGGGGCTCAAAAGCTTACAGATCTCAAGTGCCAACGCTTCAGTTCACAAATGCTAGAGAAGCAGATGCGCTTGGTCTTAACCTAAACTGCTATGTGATTATCTGCTCTATGGTACAAGACTCCCAGACTTAAAATAAAAGTACTTTAGCATATGGATGGGACAAAAACTCCTTTTTATCTGATATATTTTGAGCTGCATAAGACAAGGAATTACCTGTATCATGGCTCCAACATCTGAGTAGCATTAGAAGGCAGGACTTCAGATTATTAGACAATTATACACAACTCCAAAAATCTCATGCATGATATTAATCTAAAGCCAAAAGCTTTTAGAATTGTTCTAAATGTTGTATTTTTACTGAATGCATTAGTGTTCTCAATGATAACCAGAACAAAAGCTAAGAGCCTAGTTATTGCCTCGAGATAACACACTTGCAGTCTTCGCATATCAGAGAGGAGCAGTGGAATACAGTGGCTGGCAGCCTGTCCTCTGGAACCAGACTGCCAGCTCATCTCCCAGCTCCACCACCTGCATTTAGCTGCGTGGCTTTCACCTCCATGGGCCTGCTTCTGCACGTGGGGAAGGGAGGGAGTGCCAGCAGCTCCCCCATAAGGTAACAATGAAGGGTACATGAGTTGAGCTGTGTAGAACATTTAGTGGAAGCTGGCACATGGCACAATTTACGATTATTGGCTGGTATATTACCTTTCCCGTTACGGCTCCTAACACTCCATAGGAACAGAGTTGTGTATTTTAAAAATCTACTTCAACAAACTTTCTGTAGTTTAACTTTCTAACTTGCACTACACAAAACAAAGCAGGGAATTAGGAAGGAGGAGGCTATCTTTCAAATGAAGGAGCTCTCCACCACTGAAAGCTGGATAAGTATTTGGCAGAGACTCGAAAGGAAATTTCTACTTCAGAAGGTACGTTGGATTATACAATTCTAAGATCCCTGCCAGTTCTAAAGAAAACAAACAAGGTTCTGAGGCAAAATGGGTGCCCCTGATCATACACTGAACATCAGGATTACTCATAGGGAAGTCCTGTAGGTTTATTTCCTCTCAACTTGATGGTCTGGTTTCCAAGCTCATGCTCTCACACAAAATGTTGTAAACCAATGTTACCATAATTAAAAAACAAAAACTGAGGACAGATGCCCTACAGTGTAGGGTGAGGGAGAGACCCATTAACATGAGTAACATGAGTAAGAAGACACAGTTAAGGCCCTGAAGCAAGAAAGATGAAGTGAAAAACATAAACTAGAGGACAAAAGGAAAACTCCCGACAGTCTGATCTCCCAGGGTGGAGGACACAGCTGGACTTCAGTGTCATTCCTAAAGACCTCATGGATTAAAGAACCAGCTCGTGACAAGATTTCTCAAGAGATGGCAGTATTTCACAGTTGATGTGTGTATGTAGGCAGAGTTGAGAATTTCCCTTTAGAACTAGCATATTCCAGCTTAACAATTAAGATGAACAAATAGTATAACACTTATCTGTCACTCAAGAAACCATTTCTCACATAGTAGCATAATGATTTTCCTTCAAATCTTACACTTTGTTCTAGTATTCCAATTCTCACAGCGATTTCAGAAATGAGTCAGCAAATACCTCTGTGCTCTTCGTGGAGAAAACAGAAGGGAAATGACTTACTTTGATCACACAAAAATTAACAAGTAGGATTAATGCTTGGGTAATCTGCTTTTTAGACAAGTGTGGTTTCTGACACCATGTTATACTTTCTATTGTCTAAATGTAAACACCTACAAAATGGTCCAAAGCAGACATTTCCTGAGGTCAACATTTCGACAGTGGGAAGGAATCCATCTAGAGTTCGGAATTCTAGGATCCTCAGGGGAAAAGCCCAAGTTCTCCCCAAGCACCTACCTTTGGTTTCACAGATCATCACATTGCTGAACTCGCTCTCCCCGCCTTCATTGAAGCACTGCATTTTAATGTCGTAGGAGGTTTCTGGCTGCAGGTGGCCAATCATGTGCCATTGCTTTGAACCTAGACAGGAAATAAATAATTAGCTTTATGTACGTACATACATCTAGGCACAACCTAAATGGTAGTGTAAATATAATTAGCAATTTCCAAGTGAGGTTGGAGCAGCACCCATCAGCAGACAGTGCGGTCTGTGCAACAAAAAGCGCTTAATGTTAAGGAGCTGAGTAATGTACCACAGATGAACAGCACCTCGTTACATGTCAAGAAAAAACAGCAAAGAGAAGAGATAAACTGCATTAAAGCTAGACCTGCGTGTTGGTAGTAATACTTTGTCTCATTATAAATTAGTGATGAGACTTTCATGAAATACATGGTAATTTTATGCAATAATATAAAAATCCTTCAAGCCCTCTTTGCTCTGATTTCAGCCCAATAAGTCAGTCCATTCTATCCGCCCCTCAGAGAGCAACAGGATATATTTAATCAGCAAATGGGGTTTGCCCAAAGCTGGTAATCATGTACAAGATAGGTCATAGGGAAACTTTCAATTTCATTACACTGGATGTGGCAAGAACATACAGGTAAACAAATGCCTGAATAAAAGGCCAAGAACAATCAAAAAGCAAATCTACCAGGGAAACTCTTAGCCACTGGTCCCATTACTTCTTTTGTCTTGAATCAGGGTCTCCAAATCCCACACCTATCTCTAGTAGAATGATTCTGTTAAACCCATGGCACACAGCCAACATTTAATTTAGAAACAATCCTAAATGGAACACTCCAGACAAATCTCTCTCCATTTTCACTTCCACAGGACTGTGACAAACTTTAATAAACAGGGACACTTCTGCCAGATTTAATTAACTCTTTAAGCACCTTTAATTCCTCTTAGAAAGTACCTCTTCGAACTGTTTCTACTGTTTCTGAGAAACTTAACTATACCACCTACTGATTTAAGCATTAATTAAAGGGGGAGGAAAAGCTAAACAAAACCAAACATAGAAGTCAAATCTACTTGGCTGACAGCACAAGTATTACCAAGTTCCTTTCTAATTCAACACAGACGAAAATATTTCAATCGAGAAGCAAAATCCCCTTTCCATATCACAATACACAACTCGTCAATTACACAAAACTATATCCTTTAAGGAAGAGAATCTGATTGTTTTAGGATCAGGGGACTCTGAAGGGGAATTTTGTGCCCTATTTATGAACATAAAGAGGACTCAAAGAATCTTGATTCTAAATCTGGTTGAAATTTGAGCAGAACTGTCTTTAAACCAAAACTTTCTAAAAGACATCTATTTTTTTCCCCTTCTACCCTCAGGTAATTTTTGACCTATACTCACTTAACTATAAACATTCTCTTGAATAATTAATATACTAGATTTGAAGTTTTCCTTTCAGAGCACAGTAAAGATGGAACAAAACAAAGCTTCTGATATGATACTGATAAGGGAAAATAATTAAAATAATACATATACTGTTAGGTTAATAGTCCAATCTTATGGTAACTACTCCAATGGCTAAAATTTACAGAAATATCAAGAGCAAAAGAATTTTTATTGATCATAGATAAATAAGACAACTAAGTGTATTGTTAGATTTAAAACTAACAACCAGCATATCCTTTGCTTTTTTTTCCCTCTCTAAGAATCTTTTAGAATAGGTGAGAATCACAGATTTAAATATCAGGATGGCCGGTCCTCTGATTTATGTAGAACTCAACTTTATAAAATAAAATTATCCATGACAAAAACATTTGTATGTTGGAAGCATGTAAACATATAACTTAATTTGGAAAATAAGATAATGTAATTGTTCTTCCTTTACTGTATTTAACAATTTGAGCTTTTTACTTTTCCCAAAAGTTTAAACAATTCTGAATGTACATAAGTAATCTAATACTTTAAAGAAAACTTTAGGTACAAAGAGTAAATACTTGTGTGCCTGGGTTTAGGAGAATAGGCCAATAGTTTCCAACTGCCACAAAAAGAATTTCAAAAGCATAAACTTGAAAATAAGGAATAAGCAAATTACACAGCACAGTGAAGCCCACTTAAACATCTAAGTGCTCCATCTACTACATTTATAAACAAGTTCGATGTGAACCACAAGCAAAAAACCTTACATTTGCAGACATTACTACTGGATACAAAAGCTCCTTTAAAGTAATATCCCAGCTTGCCACTCCTATTCACATCACAAGTTTGTAAAAGCTCAAAGATTTAACTAGAGAATGCAGTTTCAAAACTGTTCACCAGTGGCTATTTCTAGAATAGAACTAGGAAAATGGAGAAGTGGGGAGAAAGAAACAGAGAGGGATATTGATTTTATTTACATTTCTCTAGTTAGAACAGTTTCATAACCAACGTAAAACTTCTGTCAGAAGAATTTTAAAATAACAATTTGATGGTCCCACTCTCTCAAAAGTGAAGACCTACCTAAGGACTAAAATGAAGAATAGTTACAAACAATTCTCTCCATTTCTGTTTAAATAGCTTTCTTTCACAAAGTAAATATGCATAGGGAGATGCACCCCTAACGTCCGCCTCACTGAATGCTGACAAACTGACACATCCATGATCCCAACACCTGTCCAAGAGAGGGAGTACCCCGGCACCCAAGACCCACACGTGTCTTTCCAGTCACCTCTCGCCCTGAAAAGCTGTCGTACTAAATGAGCAGAACAGTTTGCACGAATAGTTACCTCCCCTCATTTTCCTGATTCTGTATACTTACAGCAGATCTTAGGGATTTATTTGTTTATCTTCTTACATCATTGTGCAATACTTGATGTACTTTCTTGTACAATATTTGATGTCTCCCCTCAAGAGTAGTCACCATCGTCCTTGCACCACCACGCACCTGTGACTCACCACCATCATGCCTCGTGCCCTTCCCTCCCTGCTCTAGGCCTCAGATCGATGGCCGACTTGCAAGTTTTGTCTTTGTCCTGACCCTCTGGTTTCCCTATATTCCCTAACAGTGAAACCATTCAGTATTTCTTTTTTCCTTCTGACTTATTTTTCTTAACTTAATTGGGAATCGGTTTATTTCCTACTTTTACAGATAGATAAACAATCATTCCTTCACTTCAAGAATATTTATTGAGCACCTACGATGTGCCAGGTATGACGACTCAAATGATAATTTTTCAATATGTCAAAAATTCATTCCTTCGGGTAAACATTATATGGAATGTCACAATATTTAAAGAAACATTAAAGGAACTATTTAAAGTACTGTATATTAATACAACTATATTAATATATGAATATATAAATTAATATATTTATATGAATATATTAAGGACTATTTAATATGACCATCAGCATAAACTGTATATGGTCTTAGATGTCAAGAAATCATAATACAGCTGTCAAATTATGATGCTGTTTGTCTGAAATTTACATAACTTTATAAATTACTTTTAACTTAAAATTAATTTTGAAAAGGAAATCATGTGAAAATAACCTTGACTTACAGCAACTTTCTAACATGAGCCATTGGCACATTTAATATTTTTAAAACATGGTATCTTAAAGTGAAAAAAGACGTCGGAAGAAGCTTTCTACCCAAAATAAGAGTCCCTTCCAAGGTAGTACTGAGAAGTAAGTGTTATGTATCTCTGACCACTTCCAAAATTTGTCCATTTATTGTTTCTAACCCTTGTTAGAAATGCCATGTCAGCAGGTTCTCTCTTACATTATTTCCTTTCAGCTGCCATGCCTCCAATTGTTGAGTTCTCTTCCACTTATTAGTTCTTAAATATCTGAAAAGAGCTGTCATGTTGCTTCTGTTAGTCTGTTCTCTTATTTTTTTCTAGCCTGATCACCCCCAGATATTCCATTTTTCTTTTGGGTCTCCATTCATTCATTCACTCACTCATTCATTCAGTCAATACCAAACTCCTCATCTCTATAGGGACTGGAGAGATAGCAGTGGAGAAAAAGCTTCCTTGCCCACAAGGAGATGAACATTTATGGAGAAGATGAGCTTTAAGCAAATAATTTCACACATGTACATGGATCTAAACTATGGTAAATTCTATAAAACAAACATAAAAGGTGGCATTCGCAACTGTAACAGGTTACCTCATGTAATTGGGAGGAGGTTGTCTGAGGCAAGAAAAGTGTTGGTGAACACAAGGAAGCTAAAGAAGGCGTGTGCGATGGGAGGCAGTGAGAAAAGGGGAGGCACAATGAACTGGCTGAGTGTCCTCGGGGCGAATGACCACAAGACCACCGCAGAGCAGAGGCCACATTCTGGTTCCATTGTCAGGCAGTAGAAAGACAGTTTCAACAGACTTTACCATCGTGGCTGGTTTTGCCTTACACACATCCCAGTTTCTCAGCATATCTAAAAGTGGCAACATACTCAAGATGGGATCTTCCTTCTACAGACCTCTATGGAACTTCTGAGTTATGTTAACTTAAATGTAGCTAAAAGCTGTAACTGATTTTTACACTCATTACTCATCTTTTAAACAGAAATCAAGAACTCTTTTCAGATGAACTACTGACAAGTCATCTCTCTCCCATATTTTCGTAACTGACTACTTCTATGACCAAAAGGTAAAGCACTACCTACGTATTAAATTGGGAAAACTGTTTGCTTTGGGAAAAACACCAGCATAAGCACATGCCATTTTTTAGTCTATCTTAACCTCCAACATTTTTTTTTTTTTTGGTAATATTTATAAACCCTCTCCTACCAAAGCTTCCATATTAGGATGCCAGCTTAGCAACGGGACTTACCTTCTACAATATCCCTCTTGTAATCACTGTCGTTGTCACTATCTGTTGGCCGGTAATAGATATAAAATCCTTGAATGGGAGTGTTATTATTAATTGATGGAATGTACTAAAAAAAAAAGTAGAAGTAAACCCATGTCAGAAACAATAATATAACTTTTATGTTCGTTAAGATTTATTTTTCAGTGTTGGTATTTTCTTAGCTTCCTTGATGGTCATTTTATTTTATTTTTTTTAAGATTTATTTTATTTATGCATACAAGAGCTTGGGTGTAGGCAGAGGTTGGGGGGAGAGAGGATTCACCAGAGACAGAGTAGGGAGCAGAATATACACACTACTGAGGGGAGCAGCAGGTTGGACAGGAGAGGTCTGCTATGCTATGTGGGTAGCTTCTTGTCCAGGGATCATGCTGCAGTTGATGCTAGTAGCTTCACAGTACTGAGACTTAACCCCTTGTGCCATCAGGTAGGCTCTTGATGGCCATTTTAAATTCAAAAGTGTTAAGAGCATTTTGCTTACAGCAAAGTAATATATATTTCATAAGGTTCAAAGGCACAAAAAGATGTGATTCCAAATGAATACCTCATGAAATGCTAAATTAACACTTGTGTGACAGCCGATTACAAGTAAATGATAATTTTATTTCCAGCACTGCCCCAATTACAATATGTGCTTTTAGACAACTGTATACCACCTTGGTTTTCTCTGCAGTTAAAATTTGAAAGATTTGCTGTTCATTGTATCACTCATGAGAATATTAAATTGTTAACCAAGCCAGACCAGAAAACCTTCTCACCACAGAAGGTGCTTTACTTACTGTCCACTTTAGCATGATCTGAGTGTCACTGACCGCCTCTGTATATGCAATGTGAGGTCCAGCAATCGGACGGTTTGAAAAACGATTGGGGAACCCCGCCACCTGATAAGGACGAGATGCTGAACTCCGAAAACTTTCACCATAGTGGTTGATGGCGATGACCCTAAATTTGTATGTTGAGCCTGTTGAGAAAGAAAAAAATAAAACCAGAAAATTTAAAAAGTCATTAATGACAACTGAAAGCATAAAATATAACAACTGTATTTCAGTCTCTGATGACAATAACCATAACACACTCTGAAGCCCACAAGGTAAATAGCTTTCAATCCATGTGACGATTTCTATGAACACAGTCACTATTCAGTGCATCGTATTCAAGAATCCAAGACCTGATTAGAAGTCACTGGGAGAAAAACTCAGCAGAGCTGTCTGCCATGGAAGGCCAGCTGAGAAGAGGGAAAGTACATTTTTAACCATCCTCATCCTCAAGTCGTATTTATCAGTACAGTGTTAAGTTGAAGTATCTGTACCCAAATCTAGGTTCTTTTTCCTTTAAAAGAAACCACAGAGGCAAAGTCTGACACAGTGAATACACTGAAGAAGGAACCCTGTGTGGGGGACGGCAGATGTCACTCTGGCTCTTCCAGTAATAGGGAAAGAGGGAACAGATTTGAACTACAACAGAAGGCATTTATTTGGACTAGATAGTAAGATTTTAAAAATCTGGGAATTATGAGTTTCAAAAAAAATTTAATTTAAAAGAATAGATTAGAATTCTAAAGCATGTTTCCTAATAACTCAAACATAACCACTAGGCTTCTGAAGACAATGTTTTCCACTGGTAGATTTCCCCCACATTTAAAACTGCCTCTACAGATAGGTGCATCCACTTTTCCCAACTGTACCAACAGATTTCTGTGCTCCTTGTGGTACCTGTTTAGACAAACACAGACATTTCCTACTAACACTCATTTAAAGGTGCACAGATAAAAGTGATTTTGAGACCTAAATAAACGAAAGGTTGTGATCCCTGCTTTTCTTTTTTACTATACAATTTCTTCCTCAGAATATTGGGGGAAGGAGTTATTTGCTGAAACAAAACTTAAAGAAAATACAAGTGTTCAGTGTTGTCTTATTTCTATAAAACTGAATATAATAGTGCTGAAATATCATCAGATCAAAATATTTTGTCAAAGAACCAACTTCATTAATAGCAAAAACAAGACTTCACAATATTATTTCTAATTGTAAATAAGTAGAAATAATCTAAAATAAAACTATAAAGGATAAATTAAATTATGATATATTGCTACAGTATACATAAAGCTATTAAAATTTGAGTTTTTGAAGCATTTTTAATTATTAAAATATACATGATAAGAGGGAAATGGGTCACACATAATATTTATGGCATGATTCTGTATTAAGAAAAAAAGCTGGTAAGAAATGCAACAAAATGGAAACAATGACTACCTCTGCCTAAATGGATTTCAGTCAGCTTATTCTTTTCCTTTTTTCAATTTTCAAATTTTTATAATTCACTTTTTGCATTAAGAATTAGAAAACTGGGCCCTCCCTGGTGGCGCAGCGGGTTAAAGCCCAGCACTGAGAATCTAAAAGCCACTTCCTCATGAGTTCGATTCCCGCCTGCCCCGGAGGTGACCACATGGCGTGGCAGACCTCTCCTCGCCCGCCCGCTGCTCCCCTCAGCAGTGTACTTTGTCGATCTGCCTGTTCTGCTCCCCACTCTGTCTCTGGTGAAGCCTCTCACCGTCCCTGAGCCTCTGGCCTGTACCCCAATTCTGTATGCACAAATAAATCTTTAAAAAAAAAAAAAGAATTAGAAAACTGTAAGATTATTATAAATAAGCATCTACGCTCAGCACTGAGGATAACAGAAGGAAATGTCTAATGTTACACCTGGTTCTAAACTGCGGACTTCCACAGAAAGTTTAGAAGGAGGAATGTCCTCAGCTGCCACCAGCCAGTCACTGGTCCTCATCCGCTTATATTCCACCTTGAAGGCTGTGATTGGAGAGCCCCCATTTGCCCGAGGAATCCAAGTCACGTAGACAGACGTCTCCGAAGCGGTAGAGATGGTAGGCCTGTCTGGGGCCTCTGGAACTACAAATGCAAAACATTCATTTTAATAACTTGCAGCGTCAGAGACACAGATAGCTACAATAAACCAAACAGGACAGACCTCAAACCAGGTTTTATTAAAGGCTCTTTACCAAACATTTTGCCAGAGTCAATAATATTCTGTACACCTTCCCCATCCTCTGCTAAAAGCTAATCAGCAGAGAAAAGGCAGCTACAGGAAGGAAAACTAAAATAATCTACACATTTGATAATAATTAGCTCTGAAAAATGGAAAGTTAGTAAGTATGATAACTGTGAGCCCACTCCTCTGGAGTCATGAGTAACATTAATTACTTGGTGATTCAACTCTGCTTCTGGCTATACCTACAATAAGTTTTCAGTTACATTATCTTATTTAAATGGTCTTCTTTAATCATTCAAGGTACACAAAACACATTCAACAAACGATCTACAAATGATTACATGAGCGATCACTATTATGTCCTATTTTAACACACTTCAAGATTTCACGAATGCTACTCTAAAAAACAGACCCACGTGATAGTTTGATTAATGAATCAATGCTGATAATAATGGGGAGACAGAAGCGCTCAGGCTGAAAGCAGGAAGATACAGCATGCAGTTAAACAAAGTGCTATCAGAAAATAGATGATCCTTATGAACAGGTAGAACCCCAGCAGGGGTGAGCGCGAAGTCCGGCAGTGCTGGGTGAGCAATGCCAAGTGGAGGGTGCCCAAGCCCCAGGTCAGTCATGTGGAAACGTGGGAGTAAGTTCACCAGCCATTTAAACCACAGACCAAGGTCTCCTTGAGATTCTAAGTGGCTCCCCACTCTCTTCCCACAAGGAAACAATGCTACGGATAGAAGCAATCTGCTCTCTGTAACAGCCACATCACAAATTAGTAAACTGCTATTCTAGTCGATGGTAATCACCTGTGAATTTTTGGAAACTTGAGTTGGTTCTCCAAAGAACAGCTGTCTTTCTGCATATCTAATCGAGTGTCCAGAGTGTGAATGTGAGGCCCTGATCTGGGTCCTTGGTTCCGTGGCTGAGGTGACCTTGCTAAGGGTGCCCTGACTCTGTCTTGCCTGTGCACAGTCCCCAGGCAACACCACTGTCTCAACACCTCTTCAGCCCACAATACAGCACACAGAAATGCAGAAAGGATGCATGTGGCACTTGCATGGAAAAATAATGACAAATTTACTGATCAACCACTTAACAGATTACAAATACACATTCAAAGCAGACAACTTTGAGTGATACTTACTGTATTCCTTTCAAGTTAGAAAGCAATGGAAACAGAATGAACAGAACTGTTAGTGAATCTCTTTTTTTAATACTAAACAACCGAATAACTTCCTTATGTTGATTCATATGAGGTTAAAAATCATATAGGATCATATAGGAAAAATCATATAGATCAAATAGGAAAAAGAGAGTTACTGGGGGAGGGAGATGTCTACCAAGAAGAGTATCTTCAGATGTCATAGTTAACAAGGGGCAGGTAGGGAAAACACTGAACTTGGAGCTAGAAAACCTGGATTGAATAGGAATTCCCCACATCCTAGATAATCCCAAGCAGCTACGTAACATTCTGGATCAGGGTTTCCTAATCTGTAAAACAGATATGCAACCTCCTTTATAAGGTTGTTTTAAAGACTAAATAAATCACTTCTATGGCTGTTTCTCCCTGGATAACACCTAACTTATTATTTCTAATCATCTTCACCTAGAGAATTCTTATTACTGCTCTTGTTAAATGGTCCCTAGCTGCCAAAGCGCAAGCCATCATCTTTCTCATTCAATATTGACGCTGTTCCTTCAGCTTCCCCCTCCTCCATTCACACTGTCACTGTCTTCATTTTTTTCTCTAGCTCAATTTTTCCCATTCTTTCTCTCCCTTCTTTAAAATCCTGTAGGCTACTTTGTTGCGTTCAGAGAAAGAGTAAACTTTTAAGTGCATCATAAAGGAACTGCAGTCACAATAAGTTAAATCTCTAACCTCTAACAGTGACGGTCAATTATCTGTCTTTGTGTTAGAACCTCTGCGTTAGGCACTGTCCCTGTCAAGAGCCTCTTGTTCTATTTCTCCATGCAGGGATTCTGGGCTTGTGTTTGAGGGTCAGCTCTGGGCTAAGGACCTTCTCTTATCACAAGTTGGCCTCCTTCTACCAAGAAAGTGATGTGGTATTTCTCCTTTGGCCTCACAATATTAAGGGAACCTCAGGCATAACGAATCAAGATCATTACAATTAGTGAATTCATCTACATTGTTATTGGCTTAACTGCCCTATCATTCACCATGCTGTATCTTGAAGATTTACCTCTGCTGCTCCAGTATTTAGTACATTGTCTACTACAGTATGTTTAAAAGACTAAGGTTTTTTGCTCATCTAAGTAGTTGACTTAAGTTAGTGGAAATATTCCTCAGAGGTGAATGTAATCAATCAAATAGACT